CCTATTCTTAGGGATAATTGAGACATCAGTGCTCACTGAGTAATAAGGGTATTTACAGGATGGACCATTAAGCAATATAATAAGTTTAAATAAACTTGAGGCTTTTCACCAGTTGGTGAGAGGGAGGCATGGACTTGCCTCCCCTCCATATATATATATATATATATATATATAAAATATGGATCCATAGTTCATGATAGAATAATTTGGGTGGAATTTGGACAGTAAACATACTCTTATCATATCATGTTTTGAGCTTGATCATTAAACAAATAATTATTTTTAATAGAAATTTATGTTATATAAAATATAAATAATCAAGTGTCTATGATGAGTATCATGCATTATATTATCAATATTTGTTAAGTCGCCACTACTACGTTCTCGTCTGGTGAATTCATGGTTCATGGATAAAATAACTGAGAAAATATTTGACCTGTAATATCCACTGAATATAAATGCCAACTAAGCCATTTTTTAGTTATATTAATTATATAGTGAATAACTCAATGAAAAAGAATTATGAGGCAGCAATAGTGATAAAAGCCCCAAAAACTTGAGAACAATTTCCTCTTGAACAGAACCATGCTATAAAAGTTCAATGAAAAACTTAAAACCAAGTTTCATAAAGGATTGGCAATTTCACAACTCAAAACTCCAGATAGTTCAGGTGGATGTAGATGTGGAATAACGGCAAAAAGCCAGAGGCAAATCTCAATACCTTCCATAGCAAAAAGAATCAAAAAATCCAAGCGAAGAATAAGCAGGGATCCAGGTATACTGCGTCCAACTACAAGAATTGAGACTAAAATATCTCAAACTCACATAAGAATTACTCGATGCAGCTGATAAACCCATGAAAAACAAGGCGATTTGAAACCATGAGGTACAAGTGAGCTATGGGCAGGTGATGAAACTATGAGCTACAAGGAGTAAAAGCTATAAGAACCAAACATATATCCAGTTGCAACAAACTAAGAGGGCATTAAAACATGTAAACAATCACCACAGTGAACCAATAGCAAAAGAACTAAAAATCAGCCTTATAGAAAACATGCCCCATTCTCTGATCACTCGGGAAAAACCACCCTATCCCATGAGCCATCTGAATGTGTAAAAGAACTCGGTAAGGAATAGAGTAATTTTAACTAGATTTTGTAACATTTGGATTAAGGTTTATTCATATAAGGGGTTTCTTATAGCCGTAAACCCCACCCCTCCAACATTTATTGAAGTACTCCCTACAAAGCAGTTGCTTAGGCTCAAAATTCAGACTTAAATTTGACATTTGCGTTTGAGAGAAATTATAACCTAATATAGGTTCTGCCATTTCACTTATACCGTGAACCCAGTCTGCCAACAATTGAGAGCTTTGAACCATAATGCTCAGAGAATTAATTAACAATAGTGTCAGTAATGGCTTATTTACTCTTTTAAGTTTTTTGAGCAAACCATGTGGAAGTGTCAAAGAAGTGTTTACAATGTCGACATTAACTCGTTTAGTAGAGGGCTAGTCATGCCACTTCTACTGAATAATTCAAACGCATAAAACACGTTCTATTGCGATTCAGAGGTATGGGAAATGACTGACAAAAGCAAAGATGCATCATATGGCCATCAGATGGACACAAGCTTTGGTTTTACTCAAACAAACATGTCTAAAATACATTGTTGGTTTAATTTTAGTGGTTTGATTGATAGATTTGTTATCATAGGAGCAGGTTGATTTAGTTTGGGTCTTAAATGATTAGGAAAGTCTTGATACTAGGCCAACTAATAAGTTTTGTTAGATTGACATTATAATTTTATTAAAATAGTAGTTGGTCTGATTAATCAGATTGGTTCTTGCATATAGAGGAAGGCCAAAGTGAGGTTTTAATTAAATTCAATAAGGTCTTTTAAAAATATACATCGATTTAAGCATTTAATTATCTTTTAAAAAGACATGAGTAGGACTTAACCTCAATTTTTCCCCCTCTTTTTATCGTCAATCTAATGATCTTGTTTCCTTGTAGTCTTTCAATACAAATATTCTTCAATTATTGGCTCACCTCCCAAAAAAGCTCTTCGGGTGGTGGGCAGCCCAGGACTTAAATAATATTTTTCGGCCCTACACCTTGCTGATGTGGTACTTTTTGTCTGTGGTATTCTCCTCCACCCAATCACGTGACGCCCGAATCAGCTCCACTGAAGGTCCCACTGGACCATGCAGAGTCCAAACACCTGGCAGGCAGTAATCCGCTCTGATACCACTTGTCGCTCCCAAAAGAGCTCTTAGGGGTGGTGGGTAGCCCAAGACTTAAATACTGCTTTTTGGCCCTACACCTAGCCGATGTGGAACTTTTTGTCTGTGACATTCTCTTCCACCCAATAACGTGACGCACTCGTCACGGATTGGCTGCACCGATGGTCCCCCCGGATCATGGAGAGTCCACACACCTGGCAAGCAGTAATCTGCTCTGATACCACTTGTCACCTCCCCAAAGAGCCCTTATGGGTGGTGAGCAGCCCAAGACTTAAATATTGTTTTTCGGTCTTACACCTAGCCGATGTGGGACTATTTGTCTGTGGTATTCTCCTCCACCCAATCACGTGATGCCCTCGTCACGGATCAGCTCCACCGAGGGTCCCACTAGACCATGGAGAGTCCACACACCTGGCAGGCAGTAATCTGCTCTGATACCACTTATCACCTCCCAAAAGAGCTCTTTTGGGAGGTGACAAGAATATTCAATATTTAATAAATTTCAATTAAAATAATTATTTACAATAAGCAATAAAATCACTGACCTTAACTCACTCAATTTTCCTCTTTGCAAAGTCTACAATCCAAATCTCATATTGAATCAAATGCTCTTCAATCCATGAGTTTGATTTATAATATTAATATAATTTAATATTAATATTTTAATTAACATTTAATCTAAATACATTAATTTAAAAATTCAACATCATTTATCTTATACCCTTTCCTTCATTGTCCTCAACTCTCCTCAATTCCAATCTACATATTTTTCCATCTCTAATTTCTGGCAAAATCAATAAAATCCCAAAATAATGATTTAAATACAGTTCAACTACATAAACAAAATTCTAAAAAAAGTAAAAAAATTAAACCCTAGTCGTACCTTTTTGGGTTAATCTCATTCCCACACGTTATCCATCCCTTCTTCCTTCGTGCGCAGTACCCTGTTCATCGACACAACTAGGTTTCGTCCTCGCCTTCCGAGCGCACACTTCCAGCAAACGGCGCCGACATTGGCTCGTCAACCACAAGCGACGACCTGATCTTTACACACGCACAATTGACATGCTTTCCTGCTTGGCTCTCTTCTCTCGCACCGATTCTGACATGAAACATTCAATCGGCTTTCTCATCATAGTTAAACAAGTCGTTGCCTCAAATCGCCTCTCCTTTAGCATTTTGAATGAATGAAACTCTTTAGTCACAATTGATTTCAGCTCGTGTATGATCCTAGCATCGACAGCAGGGTATAAGATGCACGCGGTCTTGCCTCCTCCTTCCTCACCCTTTTCACTCGCCGTCTACTCTGTTTCTCACTCTCCTCAGTTTCATCTCTACACTTCCTACTAGTTTGAATGGAGACGATCTTATTTGTCTCCCACTGTCTAAATTGTTGAGATGGTTGATATTTGAACCAACCTTGCCAGTTAAAAATTCTTTTATTTTCAATTATTACACCCGTCAATCGAATTAGTTCTTCCATCGGTATCTTTTGGTTCCATTTCACCCTCTCATTCGCCAACAACTTGTTCAAGTCATCGACTGTGATAACTTGGCACTCTATGGTGCCAGAAAATCCCTCAACCCTCTATGAAGTCATCGGAGGTACTTTTGTTATTATTTGTAGATCAGAACAGGGTGTAGGTAAATAAAATAAATTGGTTATTAGAAATTAAAAAGATGTAAGTTTTGTAGTCATATAGATATGCTAAATATTTTCATAGGCACATCATCACAGGCATAACCCAAATAAATTGAAGTTTAAAAACATAAAATAAAACAACTAGCAACTAATAAAATAAACTAAACTTGCTCAGATCATTTCTCTGTTAAGACATTTGTAATGAGTGTAAAATTGCAAATCACCATCACTAACCATATTTGCCTCTCATCTCCTATATAATCAATCTTCCCATCTTCAATTGTCACATTGCAAATTTAATGATAGGATCCCACGGTTCTCTCGTTCCGGCATCACTATTTTCTTCGGATTCACTTAGTTCAAATGAATTTACTAAACTCAACTCAACGAGTTCCATACTTTCATTTAGACAGTGGGATATTGAACAATGTTATTTATACCAAGGATAAGGTATTAAACTTAGAACATTTTGGAGAGCATATGGATGGGTATATGAAAAGACGAAGTAATTATGAGGAGCAATACATCCTTGCATGATAAAGTTCTAAATTCTACTGTGCTTCTAATCATTTTCCTTCGAGACTCTAATTCTGCAAGTCTGAGTTTGACACTGTCTTCTACTGTAATCTGATTGATGACGGCGACTCTGAGAGACGGTAGTTGAACCTCCAATGGATTATATGATTACTAAACATTATCAAGAAAAATGTGAAGTCATTTCTAAAGAAAACAAATGAAGTCATATTAGATCAGGGAGAAATAGATTGTAAATCTTAAGGTGATTTTGAAGAAAAATCATCCAAAGCCACCAAACAATAGATTTGTATGAAAACATTCATAGGATAAATATAAATCCTTGAAATATTAAATGTCTTCCCAGTGGCAAATGAAGATGCTGAATGTGAAGGGCTTTCCGAAAGTAATTAGCCCAACGAATTCCCAAAAACAGGCAAAAAATCAGCTACAATGACAAAACCAAATGAGCTGATTTGCGTAATGCACATTTGCATCATTACTCTAAAATAACTGACAGGACAGAAAATTAAGATGGATCATAGCATGTGATAGCTCTTACAAAAGTATTGCTGTTTGGAATTTGGTTGTATTTGATTTAGCTTCTCAATAAACAATTTAATTGCAATTCAACAAAGAAAAAGTAATTAATTAAATGAAAATCAAAAAAAGAGATCACATTGCATACAGCAGCAACGCACCGCCTTGCGTGATTTTTCTTTAAACTGGATCATTCTATTCAACCAACCAGTTGGTGTGTCAGAACACAATAGCCACATTAATTCTAAATGCGCGTGAACATGTGACTGTACAAATACAGAAGCCTGTGTCAAGTTCAAAAGAAATGGTTGCCATTTAGCAAAATTGAAATTTACCAAAGGCAGCACAAAAAACAATGAACTGCAGATCTAATATACCTTCAAGGTATCTACACCACATGCCAAATAAATAGCTGCTGTGTTCCTTGTCGCTTCAAATCTCATTTTGCCTCTACCTAAGTTATGAATGATATAAGTGATTCGATATGAATATATTTATTATTAAAATATTTTCTTATTTAATTGCTAAAATAATTAGATACCAATTCAAAGTTTATTCAATTGCTTATTTATTTAGATTAGTAAAATCATTTGTAGAAAATTTACATGAAAACCCAGACACTTATTTGAATTATTGGTTTTTTTATTAACTTATTTAAATACTTGTTTGATTAACATAAATAAATTAAAAACAAATCAAGTTCAAGTATTAAGAAAAACAATCTAAACAAGTCAATCTTGAGCATACATGTGAAAGCTCGTCTAAAGCTCAATTCGAACCAAAACTTATAATATTACCAAATCAAGACCACTTACAACCCTAGTTATAGAGATGAAATGATGACAAATATAGTTAAAAAAACAAGAATTTCATGCAGAAATGTGAAACTTGTTGAGTTTGGAGATTGTGAAACTTGTTGAGTTTGGAGATTGTCGATAAATTTTTAAGTTTCAGGTACATAATTAGTTCTAACCATACTTACAAGTGAACTTTCCAACATTTTTAAGAAAAATTGATTCATAGGATATAATATCAATAACAATGGTTACAGAGAAACACTTTGAATGTGCCTCTAAAACCAAATAAAGCTTAGCAAAGATGCAATTTGAGTAGCTAAATGGTTTTAAAGCGCCTTTATAATTTATTTGAAGCTCTTATGCACAAAATTTTATTGCTTTAGACTTTTCAACAAGGTGGAACCCAACATTAATTTATGCAAGCAATTTTGCATTGAAAACGTATGACATAAATGTCTTTATTACTTTCTGTCTTTTATCATGTATAAAAAATGCCTAGTCTTTTTTTTCAAAAATCAAACAGGAGCAACTATTATAGTTTTCATACACATTGTAGCTTAATAATATTAAACCACAACATATATATTAAAACAATTTTTAAATGACTGATTTTATAAATTTCATTAAAATGATTTTTCCATTAATACATGAAAAACATAATCCATATAATTGAAATATCATTACCATATTTATTAATGCTACAGTCTTCAATTTAGATTTTCAAATTTCCAACAACATCAAGACTAACAATTATAATTTTTTAAGTTCTCATATATTATAATATCTTTGTAATATTAAATCATAACAATAATATCATAACTTTTTCTTCAAAAAGGATTTTATTAAGACTTTAACATGTAAGCACGACAGTAAATTATGGTGATAGATTCCTTAATTCAAAAATTTCTTTTGTACAAATCTAAAGATTTGTATAACAGTGCTGAGTCGAGCCTACAAAGAATTGACCTCAATAAAATTAATGATTTAAATGAGGATAATATTAAAAGTGAAAACTAGAAAGGCCAAATTAAACACGTGGAGGGCATATTTCAAAAATATTAAAAATGAACAAATACAATTGATAATGTCATACTCATTCAAAATTTTCTTTGAGATATTAGAAGTATGATTTCTTATTTATTTTATATCTGCTAACACATTTTGTTAGAAATTTGGTTAAAGTTTATACCAACAACATATACGTTTAAATTTTTTTATTAATTTATTTCTCATCCTGTGCATTGCATGCACTGCCTGGATAAATTAGCAAGTAAAATGCCAATAGTATTCAGAGGAAGAATAGATTTACATTGGCATTCAGTGTTTTAGGTCTTTCACTTATTGGTGATAATTAAAATAAAATAGCCAGAATATTATTAATTTGACTTAAGGAGTTCAGAAGATTGTCAACTTAGTTTAATTTCACTTATTAGTGATAATTTCCTATATTCCCTCAATATTCATTTAATTGAGATAAAAGAGCTTCATTTTGACTTTGAGGTTGACTATTGACTTGAATTTAACCTTTTCAAAACATCAATTTTGAAATCTTAAAGTCGAAACAGGATTTTGAGAATTTCTTCATGATTTTGAGAATTTCTTCAAATATTCAAATAACTTTCAGAATTTCTTGTAAAATCACTTTTTTTTTATATTCAAAATAAAATATCATTAAATTTAATACAAATTACTCGAACTGAATCTTTTCAGGGAATAGAGTCTTGTATGATGCTCCAACAGACTACTAGTCACTCATTTTACTAAAGACCTTTAACGTAATTAATTTCAACCTAATAATTTCTAGTCAGGCTTGGCTAATATGGGTCAAGCCTTACACTTAAATTTCTAAGCACATTGGTACTCTGCCACTATTAGTGGGCTAACTAGTAGGGGATCACACATCTCAGGATGACCTACACATCAATCTAGAGCAATCCTTAGCCAGAAAGAATTACAAACCCACTTGAGTAGCTATGATTTTGCATAAAGGGCCATCTCATTGCCTTGTTCTAAAAAATGTAAATAAAATACATCGGAAGGCATACTTTAATAAAATTAAAAATGAATAAATACAATGCTGACACATACCATCATTCAACATTTTCATTGTGATAGTAGAAGTAGGGTTTCTTAATTATTTTATATTTACCGTCCCACTTTGTCTAAATTTTGTTATAGTTTAGTCCAATTACACACAAATTTCAAAGCTTTTTATTAACTACTTTCTCATCCCAAGAACTAACGGGGTAAATTAGACGGTAAAATGCTAGCATTCCAAAGGAAGACCACATTTAGGCGTTGTTTGGTCAGCTGCAAAAAAGACTGCATTGCATTGTATAAGTTTTGGAAATCCAGTGATTTGGTAGGAAGAATTTCAAATACAATGTAATATAGCAATGCATTTGGAATGCATTCCTTCGTTCATTTCAATGCATTTGAAATCCATTGGATTTGAGTAAATTTAAAATACACGATTTGATGTAAAATATTGTCGGCCACTAGAGTTGCCTGCCACCAACCGCTTGCCACCGCCGCCCACCATTACAATCCGCTCGCTGCCACCGGCGTCAGCCCACCGCCGCCCACCAACACCGTTGTTAACTTTAAGTTGCCCACCAACAACATTGCCGCCGCTACCAGCTGACATGCCTACCTGCCGCCACTAGTTCAACTTCCTACTTACCGCCAACCGTCTGCCCGCTGCTGCCACTCGGAGCCCATCGCCACCCAGCCTATTGTCAATCTCACCTTTTATATTACTTTCATTTAAGTTCAAAAGAAGTAAAAATTATAAAGTTGTGCATTTATTTTACACTAAACCAAACAGCTCCTAATTATTCCAAATAAAACATATTACTTTGATACTACATTCTTTTTACACAGAAGTATTTTTTCAGCAAACCAAACAGACTCTCACATTTGACATTCACTGTATTAGATTGCTAACTATTCATAGAATTACTAACAATTAAATTTTAGATTGCTACAAACATCAACCTCTCGCAAGACATTGCATTTGACAAAAGCTTCATTCCCAAACACAGCAATGTCACACGCTTAATGCAGGTATGCCGTTCCTTATAAAAGGAGACAGCAACTGAACAACAAAGTAGAAAACAATGTAGAAATAGATTTTCTTGGCTGCCCTACCTGCAAACATGACCTTATTTTAATTTGTCCCATGTGATTTAGTTTTTTCATTTCAATTCACGATGTTAACTTAATACTCAATACCTGGCAACAAAATTAGAGAAAGATAGAAAGTATTTGATTTTTATAGTCTTTTTACTGATTAATTTGTAATAATTGCATTTTAATCCACATATATTAAATATCTGAATTTTTATCGGATGGTAGATGGTTCCCAATCATAATACATTGTTGAAGTGTGTGCTAGCCAAACCTATATAGCTTAAAAGAATCTCAGCAATCTCATAATTAAAAGAAATATAAGAGTTCCATTCAGGTACAGCTAAGAATGAATTTAAAGGAAAAAAAAATCTCCTTCATCCTGAGGCAGAACTTTGTTTAATGTTCAGCTAGTTAGAAAAATCTCATTCAAGTACATGGCTAGGGTTTCGTCCACGCCTCTGCTGTTGTAATTCCAAGCTCGTAGAAGAAGGGGGGTACGTTCCTCTGTTTCTGTCGTTTGCTTCGTCGAGCTGCGCCTGTGCTCACTGCTCGTTGCTCGTTGTAGGGCCGATCATGCTCTCCGGCTCCGTTTCCTGCTTCTGCGGCGTTGTCTCGCTGCGGTTCTTCTACGCGGCTTTCTCGAACTGAGGTTTCGACTCTGTCGAGCTCATCTGTTGTTCCTGTATGTGGTTTACTGTCTTCTGCGCAACGCCCCGACCTCTTCGGCCCTCTACCCGACCTGCAAGGCTTCTCGGGCTTCTCCTTGCTGTGATGGAGCTTCCTTCTTCTTCGGTTGAACCTGGAAAACCTCATTTGCCCACATTCCGGGTAATCCTCAGGGGGAAACGACGGTTATGTTCCCCTCAAGTTATAAGGAGAATCGTGATGGTACAGGTGACTGCCCCTTTATTAATTATGTAAGCAGGAAAAGTGGGAAGACAACACTTTTTTTCTACCCTGATTGACAAATTCAAATTTGCTCTCACTGGAAAATGTCAGTGGGGACACCCACCTATGGAGATTATCAGAAAAAGTTTTGATGACCTCAAATTAGCAGTAAAGTGGAAAGTGGGGCTCATGGATGGAGACATGTTTTGATTCAGTTAACCATGCCTGAAAACTGCACTCGTATTTTCTCCAAAAATTATTTTAACTTTGTTGGTAAACCTATGAAGCTATTCAAGTGGTCTCAAGATTTCGACCCAAATCATGAAACTCTCATTGTACCGTTATGGTTTAGTTTATCTGGTCTTAGTTTATTTTATCTGGTCTCAAGCTGCATTTTTTTCACTATCAGGTTCTCTACTCTATTGGGGTCATCCTTGAGAATCCTTTGAAGCTAGATTTGCCTACTTTTAACCTAATCAGACCCTCGGTGGTCAGAATACTTGTATAAAGGAATATTACTTTATTTGATGTTACTGAAGTCTGACCGGGTACAACCCATAATGGTTAGTGGCAACAAATCGCCATGGAGCACAGAACCCATATTGTACCCACTGTAAGATGTTTGATTGTGTCCTTGATAAATGCCACAAGTTTCATCCAAATTTAAAATCTAAGTTCAAGTAAATAAGGATGGATTCTAACCACACTGCTCTAGACATTCTAATTCCACTTGGGGAGGATACTACAAGACAGGAGGTGTTTGTTGCCCCTGAGAAACCCCCCATGACACTGTTGTTACTATTACTGCGAGTGATGTGATGTTGGCACATTCAAACCCCATAAAAAACAATACTGATTGTCTATTACCTACAAATGATAGTGTTCATACTGATAATCAGAAGAGTCTCGTAGCTCCACTTCTTCAGGAGTATCCGGTGTAGAGTCAACTCATACTTCACATATACTAGAACCTATTGCGGGTACTACGGTTGGTAATCATTCTGCTTCAACTCTACCACCCCATCAGACTGATTCTTCGAAAGAGGAATGACAGGTCTATTCCAGGAGGAAGAAGAAGAATGAAGGCCGACTCCAGCTCGGGAACATATTGGATGATACAATGATTACTACTGGCAATGGCAATCATCTTACCAGCTTATTAGCTTGCTCTTACCCTAGAATTTTTGTCGATTTTTTTTTATTTTGTTATCGGCACTGTTAGACTTTTTATTTAAGTATTTAATTTTTTTTTATGTTTTTTCTAATTTTGGAACCATTCGTGGTTTTTGTGTGGGCAGCGTGCCATGCTTGGGCCCTCCCACACATTGTAGCTGTATCTTTTATTCTATTTATATATTAGCCTTTTTGGGCTTTCAATATATATATATAGAGGGGAAATGAGCATGATTCACCTTCCTACATGTTAGAAATAAAGGTGATTACAAAAGTTGTTGGGGTGAGGTCCCCCAAACTAAAAATCCAAAAAATACAATGCTCACACATAAAGGGGGTCCTAAACCACCTACAAAACCTCTGAAACCCAAAAAAAGCTAACAAATGGTATACCCAAAAAAAAAAAAAGATCGTATACCCAAAAATCTCCAACCAAATAGATGTGAACATCGATTTCTTTTTAATATATATATATATATATATATATATATAAGACAAATTCATTGATGTAAAAGAGAAGATACAAAGGTTTTAGTTAGTGGATACAAAGAGCTCACTCACAGAGAATACAACTCACTCAAAAAGAGACTTTAAAACACTCGTATACCCCAAAAAAGAGAAGAAAAACTCCTATTCATGGTGGGTGGATTTGCCACTCCCCTAGTTCTAGGGAGAGTCCAACACCAAACTGAGATGAAAGCTTCCATCTGAAACCATCAAACAATCGTCCTGGAAATTTATGAGTTCTAGCATTTCTTTTATCTTCTTCCTAGATTTGTAAACTTGTCATTCATTTGTCAGTGTTTGTCCCATCTGATCTATTTGTGGATCTTCGATGGAGAGCTCACCCTGGAGGGTTTGTTGATCTGTAACTTACTAATCAGTCTCAGCCTGCAGCACACCTTGATCATGACGCTCCTCTAGGGCTTGATTACCCTCTTCTCTCTAAGGAGGAGCTATCACAACAACAGTGGGAAGTAGCTGGAGAACTGGTTAGTGAGGAATAACCTGATGAGACAAATTTTCATTCAACATTTCTGGAAGAACTTCAGTTTTTGCTATATTTTCCTCTATTTGGGTGATGTTATTAGAAACTGCAGAATCCAAATGCACAGATGTTGGATCTCAAATATGGATGAAACCTGAAACATTTGGTAGGTGTGTGCCCAATCAGTTTACAGTGATTATAATAATAGGGTCTTTGCTCTGCAACAATTGGTTGTCAATACCCATTGTGGGCAATACCAAGTCATAATTCTTCCAAATCAGGGAGGATGATATCCCTTTCAACAAGAATCCTTGCGACCGAAGGCCCAGATAGGTTGAAGGTGGGTATGTCCAATTTCATAGGCCTCCCTAATACAACTCCAATAGAATATAGGACTTAGTGATTAAAGTAGAGCAACTTTAGGCCAGGTAGTTTAAAGCAGGTTGAAACTATAGAAGATTCTTGGCAAGGATCTAATTCAGTAGACCACTTGAGCAATTTCATATATTTCACATTAATTCTCATAAACTTCTTGGAAAAAATTTTAACATACTCATCTACTTTAGATAATTCATCATCACATGTCTCCATCAAAGAGACCACCCTTCCAATGTCCCAATAGTTTGAGATCATCAAAAGCCTTTTGAATGATTTTCACTTTAGGATGTCCCAATTGGAACTTTCAAATGGAGTAAATTTGCACTCATCAACCAGGTTGAAAACTTCAACAACAGAGAAAATTAGAGCTAGTTTGTCACTCCTACTCGTCTTCTTGATGAGATTACAGTCCCTCTGACCTTCAAAGGATTCATGATAAACCTAAGGGAAAACCTGATCCACTGATCTCACAAAACCAACCATATCAACATAAGAAGTCTTCCCAAGGTTTAAAACTGAAGCAATTGGTGTTTGAGGAACAGAATCCATATAGCTGAGATTCGAATAGCGAGAAGCTACTGTGTGTGAGTGGTCACTGCTCGTGCATGTAAACCGAGAGCGGAGGAGGAGGAGGCGAACGCTCACTCCTGAGTAATCGAGCAAAAGGAGAGAAACAATGTGTCGAGGAAGAAGCAACGCGCGAAGCAGAAAGAGACGTCAGGTCGAGTTCGTACAGGAGGGAACAACCCTATATATATGACGAGAAAAGCTTTTTTTAACTTGCACCAGCTTTTCCTTTATTTTTTGTAAACCAAAAATAGAATAGAAAAAATAATTAGAAACACAACAAAGTTGATTTCTTTTAATTTAGTCCCACATCCCACATTATTTGAACATTCAACCTTCTAATGTTTAAATTGTAGCGCATAGCTTAGAAATTTGAAATTTTAATTCACATGGGGTATATATCAGGAATTCATGGGTTCCAAAGATATGATCTTTAAAGTTTTTTAAAAGCAATAAAATTATTATTATCATCTTATTTTTAAGCTAGAAAAAAACTCATATTTGGCTCATGTTCGTCTTGAATTCCAATGAGTCGAATACAAACACAATGTTGACAAATAATTTCAAACACAAGAAAACACAAATACACCAATTTTCAAATGAGCTGAGCAACAATCAAACTTCTAGCTTGCTCAACTTAGGCTCGTTTACACCCCTACAGCAATCCAATGTTACAAAGTTTAAAACTCATAAGACCCCAAATGCTAAAACAAGTTCGGTGATAAAAAGGCCCGGTAATATTCTTGTTTAGATAAAGTTCTATTTGTCAAAGTTTTATTTTTATTTTTTAGTTTGAAAGCATGCATATAACGTAAATGTCTGTTAAAATGGGATGTATTCTCTAGTATAATGTTGGCGCCTATGCTTGTAATAATTTGTGGTTTTTATTCTAAACATTTCATCATAAGTTTGCAAGAATGTGCCCAAGACACTAAGACATCATACTTTATTAAGTAAAGTTTTTTTCACATTTTTTAATTCTAAGAATTAGTAAGTAAAATTTAATGTTGAATTTTCTGATCGTTTTAAGATAGATGGACAGTAAGAAGAAAAATAAAAAAAATGATGGCTCGTGGCATGAAGCTCTTGACAATTTTTTAGTAGCAAAACAATGCTTAATAATTACTTCTCGTACAAGGGCATTCATATTTATACGAGCATTGACCAACAACTTGTTTCAGCACGTGCCCTAAAAAGGACCATAGATGCTACTTGTCCACTATAATATTTGAAGGCAAATTCAATGTTTTACCATGTGCATTGGGGCTATCAAAATGGAAGTTCAATCAGGCAAGTTTGGTCGAAGGTAACTCTTAGGGACAATTTGGTTAAGTCCGAAAAGTGATTAATTGGATTACTCAAAAGATAGTTTAACCTTTGTGGTCAGAGTTCATTAGGGTATTATGTGAAAATGGCTCAAATGGTCTAATCAAACATTCAAGATTTATGAAATCAAGTAATGTCAACACACCCATCACCTCCTCTTATAAATTACCCTTTGGATTCCCCCATTTACTTGATGTTGTTCCTGAATTTTTAACCATTATGCAATAGGTGCTACACAAGGAGAACACAATGCAAAATTACAAAAAAAAAACCCTTATCACACTAAGTGGGGTCAGATAGATGAATCATTTTTCTCCACTGTATCATGTTGTGTCATATTTTCATTTAATTCTAAAAAATTGAGATAATTTTTTCTATAGCATGCCCAAAATCGTTTTAGGTCTACCGCTACCTTTCTTAAAATAAGTAGAATCTAAAACACCTACTCTCTTAACTGGATCATTAGATGGTTGATGTTTAATGTGACCAAACCAACTAAGAGGACTCTCTCTAATCAAGCTACACCGACCCTTTCAAGAAGATATTTGTTTTGATTTTGTCTCTAAGTGTAAAGTTACTCATCCACCTAAATGTTCTAATCTCAGCAACATTTAACTTAGTTTTATGCTTCTCTTCTATAGGCCAACATTCTACGTCATAAAGCATTCCAAGTCTCACCACCATATTATAAAACTTTTCTTTAATTCTAAGCGGTATTTTTCTATCACACAACAGGATTGATGCATTCCACCACTTCAAGCATCCAAATTGTATTATACTAATAATATCCCCATCTATATCACCATCACTTTGAAAAAAAGAACCGAGATATATAAAACGTTCACTCTTTTTAATGACTTGATTACTTATTATTACAACCACCCTGCCAACAGATCTACTACTACTAAAATTACATTCCGTGAATTTAGTTCTAGATCTACTCAAACAAGTCTTTAGTTTCTAAAGTTGACCTCTACAATATTATGTTTTTCCTAAACTATTTCTCTAGTCTTAACCACAAGAAGTATATCATCAGAGAAGAGCATACACCAAGATACATTCTCCGTAAATGTCCAATAAGAACATCCATAAATAAAACCAATAGATAAGGGCTTGAAGCCAATCCCCAATGTAATTCAACTAAAATAGATAAATAGTTGGCCAATTTCTTTTTCTATTCAAACACAAGTAAAAACTCTAACATACATATCTTTAATAACTAAAATACAAGACATAATAAAATATAAGACATAACAGCACTTTTCTTTTCTATAACTCTCCAAATAACTTCTCTTGGAAATTTCTCATAAGTTTTTTTTTCTTCTAAATCAACAAAAATCATATGTAAATCATCCTGACCCACTTTGTACTTCTCCATCAAACCTTTCGATATATGTATAGCTTGACTTGCCCAACATAAATCCAAATTGGTTGTGAAAATGTTCGTATCACATCTTAACCTATGTTCAATTACTCGCTCCCATAATTTTAATGTACCTCTCCCAAAATTCTAAAGTATGACACATCAGCTTAATTCCTCCATAATTTGCACATCCTTGTGCATCACCTTTTTTCTTAAAAATAGGCAACAAAATACATTTTCATCCACTCCTCAAACATCTTTTAATTTTTAAAATAATATTAAAAGTTTAGCAAGCCAAGAAATTCTCAAACCACCTAAAAATCTATGTATTTCTATTGGAATGTCATTAGGTCATGTTTTGATTTTCCACCCTTCATTTGCTTTAAAGTTGTCTCAACTTACTTTCATTTTACTAATGCGACGGTAAAAATGAAAAGTTTATTAGTATTAATGATGCTAAGATCACTAAAATATATCGTATTTTGAAAATTTTAATTGAAAAGTTTATTAAAATATCTCACCCACCTATGTTGAATATTCTCATTTAAGAAAAATATTTTTTTGATTTTCATCTTTACTACATTTTATTTGAACTAAATATTTATTTTTTTAATCACTTTGTTTGACTAGTCTATACACACACATCAAAAAATATTTTTTTTTGCTGAAAAGTAAAGTTGCATGTTTTTAGGAGATTGGATCCAACGACGAATCAAAAAATTACAGTACTCACTCCTAGGGTTTCAACCTCCAGGTTTACAAACTCGTCCAAAAAAGTCTCCAAAACTGATACAAGTATACCTCAAAAAGATTCCAAAACAAAGGAAATAGCTAAACCCAAGCAAAGAAGAAGGCAAAGAAAAACACCAATAAACAAACATCCCATCTTAGGAAAAAAGGTTTAAGATATGGCATATTGAGATTGTCCCCCGATAGGAGCAACTTAAGATAAGAATCAGGATTGGTCATTAGGATTATAGCCTTAGTCTGTGTAGCAGCTTTGGCAAGTAAAATTGTTTGTCTATTAGTTTCCCTAGGTGTGTAGCTCCATGTGATGACAATATTTGTTGAAAGTTGTTTAATCCTGCATAAATCAACAATTAAATACAAAGGAGTTTCTTTATCATTAGCTAATATGTCCAACAAAATAATTGAATCCATTTCAATTTGCAAGAATCTCCAATTCAGTTTAGCCGCAATAGATAAGGCCAACCAAACAACATATAACTCTGAGGATAAAGCACAAACTGTCATACAAGGTGAAGAAAAAAAGCATAATAGTTTGTCATAATGAGACCAATAGACCCCAACTGCACCTGAACAGTCAGCCTTCCAACTACCATCAATATTTACCTTAATCCAGGGGAAAAATGGTTGTTTCCACCATACAAGAGAGACCTTACAAAACTTTCTGTCTCGTATATCATAAACCAACCAATACTCTCAGCTCGCAAAGAAAGATGGCTTAAATTTATGATAATAAACAGCTTATGTATATAACATAGGGTATTTGAAATCACCCTATCCTGCTTAGTGCAACAATTCTCATGCTTGTGGGAATTTCTACCGAATCAAATGAACCAAATGCAGATGAAAGGAATGATGTTGAATATATGTTGTTTATGAATAGGATGAAACCAATGTTCCCTGCACTGTGACAGACCCACATGGAGGGGTTTTGATAGCAGCCCAATAGGATGAAACCAATGTTCCCTGCACTGTGACATTCTAGCATTATTTTTGTACTGAGTATGCAGATGTAGAATCTGCAGGGAATTAATTAATCTAGAAAAATAATCAAATAAAAGAATAAAGATAGTAGGTGAGAGAAGATCCCCTTGTTTTAAGTGTCTACCATATGTGAAAAAGCCATGTGCTTGCCCATTAAGGAGCACCTGAGAATAGTTGCCCTCCAACCAACCCTTGATAAATTGCATAACTTTCAATTTAAGTCCCTAGATTTAATGACCTCTAAGTATAAAATTCAGCTAATAGTGTCATAAGATTTCCTTAAGTCCAGCTAGATAATAAGATTTCTCCCTCTGCATTTATAGTCAAGATCAAACATTAATTCTTGTGCCAATAAAATATTATCTGTTATACCTCTTCCCTGGATGAAAGCTGATTGATTTGGACAAATTAGGATAAGGAGATGTTGCTTTAGTATTTCCGCCATGATCTTGCTTATGATCTTTGACATTACAGAACTTAAGCAAATGGGTCTAAAGTGTTCCCACTTTGCATTATCATTATTCTTTGGAACTAGTACGATGGAGGAGGTTGCAAAGTATTTACACATAGGAGTGCCCCATAGTAGCATTGAATAGCATCAAGCACATCTCTTTTGAACACCTCCCAACTGTTTTTATAGAAATCAGCAGAAAATCCATCAGGGTCAGCAACCCTGTTCCCATCACTATCTTTAAGAGTCTCCCATATTTCAGCCACAAAAAGTATATCAACAAGTTGTAAAGATGAGGTTAGTAGTTTAGCTTCCCAGGCAATGTCAGCATCCAGCACTACGTCAAAGTTTACCTTCGAAAAAAGAAGCTCGAAATGATAGATTCCATTTTTAATAATCTCTTCCTGATCTATGAGCGAACTACCATTATTATCTTGAATTTTTAAAATAGTATTCATTCTCCATCAGTTTTTAATACATACATAAAAATAGCTAGTGTTCCTATCATTCTCCAAGAAGTTTAGTTTACCAGCCTTTTGCTTTTGAGATATATATATCACCCCCTTTAGTATATAATATATTATAAGGATAACTAAAAGCAAAATTTTATCACTTTATATTTTTCCCAATTCTCTAAGTTTTACATTTAAACCAATTTTTATAACAAAATTTCTTATATTGTATCTTGTTTTGCAAATTATTATTCTACCACAAACTATTTTTATTTATAAGAGATTTAATTTTTAATTATTTAAATATATTTTTTATAACTTACTTAACAATGATCATTACTTTCTCCCACATAGCATTAGTTTATTTATGAACATCCCAATTGTTAAAATATTAAAATTTACTCATAAAAATGATTTTATTTGTCTTGTAAGTATCCTCATTTAATTTTATGACAATATTTCGTGGTATTTTTTTTATTTTCTAACATTTAATTTAACCTTAAAATTTAAAACTAATAATTTATGTTGAGCACTTAAATTTTCACTTAAAAAAACCTTACAATCTTTATAATTCTTACGCCAGGTAAATTTATCAAAAAAATACTTCGTTCATCAAGAAAGCATTGAACATGTAATGATAATGATGAAATTCATTGAGAGAGCACAACCATTGCATTAAACTTCCCATCATTGTGAGTTATAGGGAGCGTTTTATGAATGCATTCTAATCTTTACATTATAGAGAGATTGCTTCCACAATTCAACACCATGACCGCTAGAGAAAAGTTGATACAATATAATATATTATCTAGGCTTCCTTGTAAAAAAATAGTATCCATTGGGCGTTAAAAAGAATGAGCTTACAACCAGAAATAAAGTTCTCCATAACATCAGAAAATATAAAGTCCATTTTAAACAATTAGTCATACAAGGGTCAGCATATTATCTGATCTCCAAAGTACATTTCTAGAAACAAAAGAAAACGTGTACTCCATTTGACAAAGCTAGATATAGATGTAGAATTAAATAGTAAGAACCATTTTAGGCACATTTCATATCTTATTATGATATTCCAAAGAGAAAAATCTTAATAGGTTGCTCGTAAAGAATTCAAACTTTAAGAAGAGATGTTTCACCTAGAAAGAGTAACATTTTTGTAGCTTACAAATGTTTCTGAATATTTTGATCGATTTTATAAAGTTCAAAATCGAACCATCACATTTCTATCAAGTTACATTAGTCAAGACAAATCGCACATTATAGAATTTGAAGTCTTCAATGAGAAAGAAAGTCTTGTCCTTGAAGTGTGTGGGCGGACTGATTATTCCCAGTATAATAATTATCAAATATGTCTCTACTTCACAAAAGTTATTTAGATTATCTTAAAAAACACAAAACCAAGGCTCTTGATGACGCGGGGACTACGTGGGTCGGCCCCGCACAGACCGGTCCAGCCTCCATGCTAGACCGAACCATTCAAACCGACTCAAATGGGGCGGAAACTTCCGTCCCTCCTCATCTTAGATCTTAATTCCTCCCCTACCAAAACCTCTCCTTCCTACTTGGACTAAATTCCAAATTCTTACATATTCCCTCCATTCTCCTTTAATCCTTTCCAATTTCTCTACCTACCCAGTTTAGCCCCTGCTTCCATCTTATTTATAATTGTTGTGTGTTGATTACTAAACAGTTTTTTATCATTTTTTATTTTCAGGTGTGCTGTACAAACATTCCCTCTTCGAGGGATGTATCCCAAGGCAAGCAGCGTTACAGTTGTACCTCGCCCAAGGTGGTATGTCTCTCCACTTCATTCCTTACTCCCCCTGTTAGTCACTGGTGTCTTTCTCTGCACAAAAAGGTCATTGGCCCCTTTCCCTGCTCGCCTCTACCAAACGCACTCCTGCCAACCTCCACAGACAAGCCGCTACTCCCCTTAGGGATCGACTTAGCTGCTTGCCAACTCTATTCATGCCACAAACGAGTCGGGGATCTCCTACATGTTCTCTCCCTGCTATTCGCACACTCGCCGCGCCAATCTCCGCATGGATCAGCCGCAAGACTCCCGCACCTCTTTGGTAGTCCACCTCTAACAGACATTTGAAGGCCCCCTTTCTATCGCTTCCGGGTTCTTGTTCCTTACCTCTATTGATCTATGTCATTGTCGGCCTTCAAGTCCAGTGGTCCCACCTTCCCTGAGCATCTTTTGGTGGTCCAACAGACTTATCGGACTCCAACGTCACACCCGCAACTTCTCAGTTAGACGGATCTACAGCATCACTCAAGAGGGTTGTTTATGTCTTTTGTTATTTATTTGTTTGTTTTTATTTTTTGCAAATCACATTATCATTATTTGTGCTATGTTATTGTTCTTGTAGCATTGTCCTTGTACCCCTTCTGAAAATCAACTATAATTGTTTGTGTCGTGATTTGAGTTAACTCTGCTATCACCTTTCCATTAATTTCATTCATGTAAAGCATCGCCCAAGAACAGCTAATTGCAATAATGTGACCAAAAAATCTTTTTTTTTTCCCATGAATTAGCCTAAAAACAATGACACACATGAATAAAGCACGTAGAAGCACTTCAGAGGGCAATCAGTTTAATAAATGGAAGGAAATGAATTAGTTTAAGATGACAATTCGCACGAACACAAGAGTTTATAAAATCCATGGGCCCAAAGAAAGCTTTACCGCATGCAAGTCAGCAATGAAGAAGAGTGTCTCATAAGTATCCTGAAAAGGAATAGAAAGAAATGTAATAAACTATGAATGACATGGATGTATGATAAGTAAAACCAGTAGTTTCTTCAGATAAGCATTAATAGGACAGATAAAAATAGTTATCCAGTTACAGTTAACACAAACAATAAACATGAAAAGAAGATTCAAGTTTAACATGCGGAAAAAAAAAACATATTTTTGATGTTGTGTGGAGGGTGTAGGAACATATTCTGGAAGTAGATATCAACCGTGCTGCCCTTTACAAGGTAACTAAATAATATAAGGTATTCTAGAGAGAAAGAGATATCACCTGTGGAAGGGGAGTAGAAGTAGAAAAATCAAATTTTCTATTTGATCTGGAGTAATAGATGGCACATTGAACCAATGCCTTGCAAGCAAATCGCCTCACAGTTTTGGAAGAAAAAGTAAATTAGAGTGAAAACATTGCTTTTAACATTGAAGGTTGTCAACTTCTCAAACAAAAGCACTATTGTCATGATCTTCCTTAACGGGTCTATTTTGGATAAGGTAAATTATGTTTTACATAAAAAGCTTTCTAATTTGTTCAGGTATGAAAGTAAAATTGCTTTGTTAATCATCGTAGATGCATCTGATTACAAACACATGGTAGAGAAGTGGACTGATCTTCAGAATTTACAGTAACGATTAGGCATCTAGAAATGATTTACATCAAAAGAGAATTAATAGATGGCCCAAGATTATGTAAATGCTATCTTTTTCTTGCTTATCTAAAGGAAATTTCTCCCTTGTTGGGCAGCTAATAAATCATCACGTGAGACATTCAAATATAAAGAAGCATTTAATAATTAGTCCTTTAAAGTGAAGCCCTTAAAAATGTTGAACTTATAAATAAAAATTGTAGTAGAGCTGATATACATTTAGGGTATTTTAGGGATAAATTTTTCTCCACTTCGCCTTTTACAATACTTTCCTTTTTAGACCACTGTCGCGCCTCTATTTGGCTACTGGTTTCTTTTTTTTCTAGATATTTTTGTGATGTTTGTGCTATCTTTTTCTTGCTTATCTAAAGGAAATTTCTTTGTTGGGCAGCTATTAAATCATCACGTGAGACATTCAAATATAAAGAAACATTTAATAATTAGTCCTTTAAAGTGCAGCCCCTAAAAAGGTTGAACTTACAAATAAAAATTGTAGTGGAGCTGATATACATTTAGGGTATTTTAGGGATAAATTTCTCTCCACTTCGCTTTTTAGACCACTGTCGCACCTCTATTTGGCTACTGGTTTCTTTTTTTTTTCTAGATATTTTTGTGATGGAAAACTGTTTATTAAAACCAAATCTATTAAAATATGAAAGTCATAAAAATGTTTTGGTCTGACTTTTTCAAAATAAAATTACAATACCTAAGATAGCTTTCAAAAAAATTGATTTCTCCGCGACAGTTGTATAATTACCTTTATAAAAAAACTGCAGCCTCACAAAACAAACCATTATTATGTGTAAAAATATGAATCATAAAATAATAATTTTCCTGTAATATTCTATCTTCTTAGAAGCATATAATGGCATCAGAGAACAACCATGCATATAACTATACGGATGACAGATTCAAATAATTGAGAGTAGGATTTGAAGATTGCAGAGAAGGAGATGAGAATTTTGCAATGTCACCTGAAGTAAGACCCAATTCTTAATGGCACCAAGGTAATTTCCCAGGTGAACAGACCCTGTAGGTTGGACACCAGAAACAACCCTTTGTCTGAAAAAATTGAAAAGCAGTGTTAAGGGAAAATGTCATATCAACTATGAGCCCGTACTTCATATGAACAAATTTTGATATGAGAGGCTTCTATCGTAACCAAATGATCTAACAAGAAATAAATATTGGTCTTCAAGAAACATGAATCTCTATCATTGCAAGTACGAAAGGTAGAAAAGAGATGTTAAGTAAATAGCTTGAGTTGATCATTGAATCCATGGAACATAAATCTGCAACCAAACATAAAAGATATTTCTTCCAATAGTAACCAAAACTTCCACAAGAATGAAACTTAAAATCTCTTTTAGTTTAATAGAATTGCGTTCCACAAGAATGAAACTTAAAATCTCTTTTAGTTTTATAGAATTTGGATAATGTTTAACCGCTTCATATCTTGAACTGTAACAATCAATGAAATTCACCAAACAGACTGACAAATAAAAATGCTAAAGCGTAGCATGACAAGTTAGCATAGTTTTGTTTGATATACTACTAAAACTTAGCATGATAAGTTGACACTGTTTTCTTTTTTTTTTTTTTTTGTTATACCAATAGCACATTAATGAACAACTTTAATACAAAAAATAAAATGTTCAAAGCTTAAAAAATTAAGTAATAAATAAAGTAAAGAGCTAACTGACCAGTACGCTTTCCAAGTTGCGGGCGCACAAAAAATAACATTTAAAGTAAAAACCCTAACAATATACCATGCAACCTCTAATACCCGCTTCTGATCATTAAATTTTACAATTGCAAGTAAAAAGATAGGTCTCTTTGACCTTAAATAAAGCTAGTGATATTCTATTCAACATTTATTAGAACATGACCAAACATATGATTCATTCCTTAAAAGCTTTCATTTTTTACCCCAGCTCCCATCGATCGATGTATAGGGGAACAATTTGATTGCAATTTTATTAAATTTATCATTAGTCCTCTATGATATACACTTATGCATGGCACTCCAATATTACTTCCAAACTTAGCAAATGAAGTGGAAAATCCAAAGAAAAAGAAAAAACAAAAATCAAGAACACGGAAAAATTTATGAGGTTCGGCGATTTGTGTCTAGGTCCTCGGGGAGCAACGATTTCACTATTTCAAAAAAATTCAGTAAATGCTCATAGGATTAAACATTGAATATATATAGAAAAACCCCACATATAAAATTACTAAAATACCATTGTACCGTGTCGCGGGGGCAATGCCCCGGCACCCCAAACCCACTTAACGAAACTCCCCTGATTAGACAGATGCTTCCACTACAGCATCTATCCCTTATCTGGTATATAAGTCATAACTAACAACCACCTATCCCAAACTCCGAAAATTATGTTCGCATCTATGTACCCATTTATCTACATAACAACTTCAAGATATTTAAATCTATCACGCTTAGATATCACTTTATCTACTATGATTGATAGTTACGATTAATATCTAACATACTTTGCATATCTTTTCCTCAACATTTTGGTCTAATATTCCTAAGCTATATTTCTTCGAAAGTCAATATTTTTTTTCTATGGAATGATCTTTTACTGGTTTCACCAGACATTTCAATGATTAGAATTGTGTCCATTGCAAAAAAATAATCCGAGGAGCAACATTTTAAATAGTTTTGTAAGCACCTCATAAACAATACAAAAATACAGAGATTCAATGTAAATCATTTATGTAATCTGGGGCCAAGAGAAAAAACTTTAGTCAATCAACAACTACTTGTAATACTAGTCAATGCTCCATGTACATATAATTAATAAACTCGAAGTACCTTTAGCATACACATTTTTTTCCTTGACACGCACTAAATCAATTGTGTTACTCCACAATCTGCTTCTCCAAAATCAATTATAGCTTCTCTTGTTGCATTAATATATCCTATTCCAAACCTACAATGAATTTATAATGTGAAATTTTTCTCTATGCTGAGTCTATTAATTGCCTGATTTTCATCCACTGCTTAAAATTGCGAGCAAACACCAAATTCTGCACAAAAACGGCAAGGAACAAGCACGCAGATCAACAGTAACCTATCAACCCCAGCAAGCACACTACTCTCAAACTTCTTCAGAATGCTAATAAGATTTTAACTTGACAAGCCTGACATGCAGGTAAGGTTTTCTTTCATGATGATGTTTGGTTGTAGCGTCATCTTGTTCAATATGAAATAGTCGCCCTGCTACAGAGATAATAACAGTGCTCGACAGGTGCGTTTCTCAGGTTAAGCCGCAATTGAGGCGCAAATCCAGTATGGCGATCAAAACTCATTATTCCGTCTTAATCAGATGTTCTATGACGATATTTTGAAAGATAAAACAGCTGGAAATCATTAACGAAGAGATAAAACAACCATACTAAAACCCTCTCCACACGTACATTTCATCTGCATGTCTCATAATAGCTTATTATATCCTTACTATGAAGAACAAATAATGCATATGAATAGCATGCTGGAAAAGACAAAGAAAAGCTACCCTCGTTAATTTTCCGAGTATTTCTTCAAGCTTATCAGTTTCCGTGATTTGAAGAGAAGAGTTGAGAAGAAAGGGCGCAGCGCACTCACTTTTTTCGGATCGCCGAGCTTTCAGGAGCCTCGCTCTCGGGAGCATAAATTGTACAATTGCACCGGAATCCCGCGCCTGCAACAGGCAGTGTGATGGGCATTCTGCACAAGCGACGCGCTTGGTTTGCACCTCGGCCGCTACCGCTAATAAAAAAAAATATGAATAGAATTGCATCAAACCACGGAAGAGTGATGGGGAGACGAAAAGGTGATAGGGTCTGCCTGAAAAACCACAAACATTATCGAGGAGAGAAGGCGGCAGGAAGATCTGGATAGGATGGGGAAGTGGGAGAGAATAGTGCGGCTCATTGCCCGCCCGGTATCGTCTATCTTCGTCGACTTCCCTACTCGCTCTCCGTCGTAAATGATAGAACTGGAGGTGGAACAAGTGGTCCGGCGAACAAAAGTGGGCGCGGACGGCTTGTGCGTCACTTCGGGCTTTAGTGCTTTGGAATGGCGAGGTTCAGTCGACTCCTCTTCTTCCTTCCAAGCCTGAGCTCGCTCAAGCTCGACTCGTTTACAGCCCTAGGTAGGAGAGGGGCACGATTAAATGAATATGTTTATTTTAATTTTGTGGTTATTAGATATGAAGAAAATTTAATGTAAACTTATTTTCAAGGGCTATTTATTTTGATTTATTTGGAATTTATAGTAAATCCAATATCTCTCATACGACTTCACGAAATTTTTTTCATTTGTCGCGAATCTCGAGACATAACACAAATTTTAATGCAACTTTAATAAAAAATATTCAGGTTTTAATTAAAATTCATCCAGAACTCTGATTTTCAACAAAATTATGATCAAACTTACAACATTACCAAAATTCATTCAACCTAAGCCAAATCAAGCATAGAACATGAACACTTTTAGGAACTTTTCAGACATTTTTTATTGGTCAAATCAATTCCAAATCTGACGAGCTTGTGGTCGAATTGAGTGTCTCGACAAGATGAATCCAAATAGCTCAATATCACTCATTCTGACATTGATAAGACACTCAAATATCCATCAGAATTCATCTGATAGAGAGAATCTCTCTAGGTCATTTGATCATAGTGCTTTGGATTTCTTTCTTAAATATATCATAGGCTCTAAAAAAAGAGTTTTAAACTCTTTATGAAGAGGGAGTTGGAGCTTGAAGTCTGAAACAAACTAAAGCTTGGAAAATAAGTTGAAATTTGACATCACTTCAGCACCAGTGATTTGACGAACGTCTCCCACTCCTGCAACTGCCGCCTAACATTATCAACCACCACTCGTCAACCACCATCAAACAACATTAGTCGTTGCTTGTTCAATGCAAATCGTAGAGCCACCAAGCAACCTATTAAGCGGAACACTATCCCAAATCTCTCATCAACCACCATTAAACAACCTCTACTCTCACCTTCGGAAACCTTGGCCACAAAACTCTAACTTGAACGACCACCGAAGCCTCCAAATGTTCTCTTTCATTCTTTCTTTTTTTATTTTAGAAAAAAAAAAATTTATAAAATGGTCTGCAATTGTGGAAACATTACCTCCTTCCCTCGTCTTTCCACCCTTTTACTAAGTACCAACATTCCCTTATCCAAATTACAAATTGTCGACTTCTCTTTGCATTTTCTTTTTCCAAGTGTGATTAAGAGATACCAAAGATAATAAGGCTACTCCTTTTCCCCTTCCAATAACCCAAATTGATTTTTGTAATTTAAAACTGACTTATCCTCCCCAATTATTTATGTTAAGCAAAATATTTTAAACGTTAAGTTAAAGCTAACTGTAAAATAAATTCTTATCTTAATTTTAATGAATGGATAATAGATTGCCAAAGTCTTACAATAGTAATGAGGATAATGATAAAAAAATAACAATTATTATCATAATTGCTGCATGTTAGAAGATTCACGACAGTATTGTGATACTTTAACATTTTAATATTGTACGGAGTTCTAACACACACACGGCTAATAAAGAAGCAGTAAGAGGAGACACTGGGATTTTTTACGTGTAAAAACTTTGGATATGGAAAAAAACAAGTCAACTCTTCTCATAAATTAGGGAATGTGAAATTACAAAGTTCATAATTACAAATATACAATAGTAGTTCATATATACTTCATATTTATAATTGTGCTACAACAATTTTAGTTATCAATGATAATAAACATAGAATGACTACAAAGGCTTTATTTGGTTGATATTAAATGATTGGCTTGCCACATATGCCTTCATAGATGGTTGTAATTGTGCTAATATGTTGTAGAGGTCATAGTTGAAAGATGTACTAGCGGTTGGTCATATTGGTCGTTGTTCGTAACTGCAAGAGCGCCGATTAGTCACAAAAGTTGAAAATAACAATTTATGATGTTGGTTATATTTGGTCACATAGCCTCTTGTGGGGGGTTACAGCATCGTTAGTTGACCACAAAGTACATGGTTGGAAACTACAATATTAGTAAGTCACATAGGCTGTAATTGGTCACATAGGCCTCATTGGGGAGATAAAATAACGTCAATTGGCTACAAAAGATCGTAGGTTAAAGTTGTAGTAGTAGTTGATCTTGTAAATCACAATTGGTCAGATATAAGAGATAATAGAAAGTTGCACTAGCGTCAGTTGGCCACAATGATCGTAAAAGCAATGACAATGAGCCATATAAGTCGTAGTTAATCACTTAGGCCGTAGTGGCCATAGCGTGGAGCCACAATAACATCAATTGGTCAAAGAGATTATAGTTGGAAGTTATGGAAATAATTTACCACGCAGGTCATAATTGGTCACGTGAGCTGTAGTAGGGACCTACAGTCACATTGATTGATCACAAAAGACATAGTTGGAAGCCACAACTACGTTGTAATTAGTTTCATAGGCTATAATCGAGAGTTACAATAGCATCGATTGGCCACAAAACCCCATTTAATGTTTTTTAGATTGATTAACAACCTATTTTATATATGTTTTTGTGCACAAATATTATTTAAATTGTATCATTTTATTTATTAGAATTGTTTCAAAACTTTTTTCCCGCACTTGCCCTCTAGGTTGTATGAAATCCTTGAAGGCCCAATGAACGTGGTTTGATAAGCAAATAGTAGCATACAGTCATGAATAAATCTCTTCAAAATCATCATACTTCAATTTTCTATCTCATTCGAAACTAAAATGTGTCTCTTACATAGATGACATCAATCATAAACAATCACTTCGCATTTTTGGTATATCATCAGCATGGAAAAATTATTACGT